GTGATCTACTTACGAATAATCAGCCACTGGAAACCTTACAGAACACAGTTCTGCTCTGAACATGTGAGGTGGCCATGGTGGAATTGATGCAACAGTAATAGGTTACACTTGACCAAGACATAGAACTCCCTTCACCCATCCCTAACAAGCAGTTGTGGTTCTCAAAGGTTTTCTGAGACTCCTCTTTGAGTCCTCTAGTGACAAGTGGAGGTGGCATTAGTGATCCCTCCTAATGATGACATTTTCCAAGGTCATGCAGCCAGGTCAGGGACAGAGCTGGACTAGACAATCGTCCATGCTTGCAGTCCACTGTTCTTCCCACCACCTCACAGCCAACTTACTCAGTTTCATTGGAGTAGGTTGGAAAATCCCAAAGTGGTTATGTGGAAACTACCTGTCTCTAGTGCTACTGTGACAGAAATACCACAGGTGGATGGCTTTAACAAACAGCAATTTATTCTCTTACAGTTTAGAAGGCTAGAAGTCCACATTCAGAGTGCCAGCTCTGGGGACTGGGTAAAGGCCCCTCGACCTTGGGCTTCAGCTCTGCCTCTTGTTCCAGGCCCACAGGAACTGGTGGTGTCTCCTAAGTCAGGCAGCTGCAGGCTGCTGAGGCTGATGAACCCAAGATTGTCAAGTAAAATGGCACAATCCCAAGTTTGGCAGGCAATATGGTAGATCACTGGTTAAAGTCCAGGATCCAAATGTGCCAAAAAGCTAGAGAACTTTCTCAAAGCTTCTCCATATATACTGGCAGCAGGCCATATCCTAAAGGCAGATCTCCTTCAACTTATTAGGTGCTCACAGCAGATTCTACCATGGAGGTGATTATAGTCTCATCATGGGGAGTAACTACATCCAGCTCCCAAGCCACTCAAAACCCCAGGCCAGCCAAGTTGACACACAACCTTAACTGCTACACTACCAGAAAAATGTCACAAACACACAAAATGGGCTGGATTTTTGGATTGAGAGCAACTAACCCTACCATTATCTTGCTAGACCTTACTTCAGGGTCAGCCCAGGCCCTCACCTTGCCACCTCTGTGTGAGATCAGTACCAACCAGGGCATGCAGGCTTAGGTGATCTGGGTTGGTGCAAGGCTCTTGTCTAGTACTGGTACCCCTCCCTTCAGGCCAGGGTCTCTGACTGCCTGGGATACTTAGCTGGGGTGACCCTCCCTCCATCCATCCCTCCTAAGGGGCATCACCACCTTGCCACACACACACACACACACACACACACTCTCCACCTTCAATGACCATCCCATCAGCTGCTGTCAAGTTGATACCATCTCATGGCCACCTCATGTGTAACAGAGTAGAATCATGCTTCATGGGGTTTTCAATAGCTGATTCTCTGGAAGTAGATCACCAGACCTTTCTTCCGAGGCACCTCTGGATGGACTTGAACTGCCAAACTTTCAGTTAATAGCTAAGTACCTAACCATTTGCACCAACCTGAGGGCTCACCTAGTGGCATTCAAACTGCTTCAGGTATCATTATTCCCTGGAAGGTGTGTTAAAGCCCACAGTGCTAAGCCCACCCTCGGAGTCTGACTTGGCAGAGCTGGGATGGGCCCAAGAATGCACATTTCCAACAAGCTCCAAGGGGATGCTGACACTGCAGCTCCAGAAACAACCTTTGAGAACTATTTTTCCAGGTCAGCAAGTCTCAACTGGCTACACAGCAGTCACTCAGAGGGCATTTGAAACAGTGATGCCAGCCTACTCTAGAGCAGTCAAGCACACAGAACCACTGGCTGTGGAGAGGAGGGGGACCTTCTGCCCAACTTTGTGAACAGTTCAACTTTGTTGAGTTGTACTTCAATGTTTTGGATAGATCAAACAAAGCATAATTCTTTTCCTAGCATTGAAAGGATGTGGCATTACTAATATAGTTAAAAGGAACTCTGGTCATGTAGTGCTTAAGGCAGTTGGCTGCTAACCAAAAGGTCAGTAGTTCAAACCCACCAGCTGCTCTGTGGATGAAAGATGTGGCAGTTTGCTTCTGTAAAAATTTTAGCCTTGGAAAGTCATTGGGGTCGCTATGAAGTGAAATCAATTCGACGGCAGTGAGTTTTTTGAAAAAAATAGTTGAGGAGTGATTAAGCACTGGCCTAGTACTAAAGGTTGGCAGTTCAGACTCACCCAGAGGTGTCTTGGAAGTAAAGCCTGGCAATCTCCTTCTTGAAAACTATACTGAGCACAATTCTACTCTGCACACAAGTGTTGCCAAGAATTGGAATTGACTGGACAAAAATATGGTTAAATGATAATCTATGGTTATTCTGTTTCAAATGCCTTTTTTACATAAATAGAAAGAGTTCATGGAGTGGGGACCCAAGGTGGGAGCATGGGGGACAAAAAGTGGGGGCAGAAAGCCTGAGGAAGAGAACAACTAGTTGCTTTTGGTGGGATGGGACTTGGTAGGTGGATATTTATGTTATTAGAAAACATCTCAATGGCTGCTCCAGGATACACAAACATACTGCAAAGGCTACAAGATGTCAGAGCAGTTCTGAGCTCTGACTTGCTGGACCTGGATGAGGCAGGAGCCTTTAGACAGCCAAAGGTTGACCAAGGCAGGGGCTCCTGATCTCAGCTCAGGAGTGCAGAACAAAGCTTCCTCTGCCCAGAAGGAGGAAGGCAGAAGGAACAAAACATAATGAGAACTATTAGCAGTTGAAGCTTAGTGGGAAAAGGTCTCACTGCCATCAAGTTGCTTACAACTCATAGTGACCCCTCAGTGGATTTCTAAGACTGTAAATCTTTATGGAAGCAAACTGCCTCATCTTTCTTCTGCAGAGAAGCTGGTGGGTTTGAACTACCTTTTGGTTAGCAGCCAAATGCTTTAACAACTACATCACCAGAGCCCTCCATGCTTTTCCATTACAGAATATATCACAGTTATAATTTTATACCTTTCTGTGTGATCATTTTATGCACATCCACATGAGGGTAGGTGATGTATCTGTTCCCCCTCCCCCCCACTATTTTATCCTGGCACATAATAGTCTCAGTTGTATTTCTTTCAGTCTTGTGCTTTTCCCCATCACAGGATACATTTTATTTTATACCCATCTGTGTAATCATTTTACACACATCTCCATGAGGGCAAGAGATGTATCTGTTTTTGTCCACTATTTTATCCTGACCATAATGGTATCTCATGAGTACTTTTTGAATGAATGGATGCTGTGTAACCAACAGTTATGTTGGGATTTTAGTAAAGAATTGTATATTTTGAAGAAAAAATGAAAAGCTATTATAATGTCATCTGAAAATATATTTAAGTACAGGTATTTAAATACACAGCCCCATGTTTACATCTACGCAGTGCTTTTGTGTTTATGTACAAATACGTGAGACAGGGAGAGTGAGCACTGGTGTGGTTTGCAGAGGATGTTAAAATACTGAAATATGGCCATTTCCCCAGGCACACTTGGGCTTCCCCACCCTGAAGGGCTATTGCCAGCCACACCTAGGACCTTTTCCAGCACCAAGGCCTCCTGCAATTGCTCTGATTGGTTGGCAGGCAGGCACTTTCATCTCTTGGTTGTCACTCTTGGATACTGCTAAAAAAACCCAAACTAGTCAGTGTTGTGTCAACTCTAATTCATGGTGGCCCCATGTGTGTCAAAGTAGAACTGTACTTCACAGTGTTTTCAAGGGCTGTGATCTCTTGAAAGTAGATTTCCAGCCTTTTCTTCCAAGGTGTCTCTGTTTGGACTTGAACTTCCAACCTGGGCTGATGACTCATGTGGTATCTCCTGGAGCTCATGTACCCCCCTAGGGAAGGAGTTCCCAAGAGAGTGAGGAGTAGGTAGCAGTGACCTGAGCTCCAACAGGTAAGGAGCTGTGGGGAGAAGCAGGGCTGGCATGGGTCCCTGCCCATGCTGCCTGAGGTGGCTGCACCTGGCCTCAGCCTGAGTGTAGGGCTCTGGGCCACAGGTGCATTTGCGATTCATGGCCCACTTTTTGATCAGTAGCTGAGCACATTGAGCATTTATACCACCCAGGGACTTCTACCACTGTATAATGGAAGTCTTTAAGACTTGATCTCATTTACTCATCCATAAGGCACGAAATCAATTCTAACTTACAGGTTACCTATAAAATAATCCATGACACAATAATTGCTTCTAAAACTCTCCTCTAGGTTTAAATTTCATCATTCTTTTTCCTCTAAAAGCCAGAATGCATTGAAAAGCAGGTGTCTTGCTGGAGGGAAGGTGAGAGACTTTGCTTCCCAGCTCTCTTCCTCAGTCAGGACCAGCAGCGGCCCTCATGCAGGGCAGCCATATGGCTTCTGGAAAGCCATTTAGGATCAGATACAGGGGCCAGGACTCAGGCTCAGAGAGGGGACATGTAAATCTAAACAAGTATACACAGGCCAACAGGTAAGGAAGGAGAAAGGACAGGACAATGGCATGCTGGCCAACTGTTCACAAGCCAGTGTGCACCCGTAGTGGAACAAAAACCACTCCATGTCCAACCCTCTTCTCCTCAGGGAGGTACGACAGTCACAGCGCCCAGCTTCTGGGACCCATCAAGAAAAGTTTATTTCTTTTATGTACACATATTAGTTAATAGCATAATGAATGGAATGGCGTTTTACACATTTATAAGTTTTAAATATAAATAAGTTTTCACGCTTTCATCAGACCCCTACCCTAACTGGAAAATATGTATCTAAACTTAGAAGACCTAAGTGATTCCTTTCTCAGGTTTCTATCAAAAAAAAAAAAAAAGATTGTACACATCATTAAGGGGAGGCTGTCCCTTTTGATGGGTCCATACAAAAACCTGGTTATATCTGTAATTTTGAGGGCAGGGGAAAAAAAAGATAAAAGAGAACTTTTGGTTAATTGACGAAATTGTTGAGAGCCATTAGCCTGTGACCCATGGGGTGGATCACAGTCACTGCACTGGAGTAGACCTTGTTTGAGGGTGGTCCCATTTGGCTGTTTCTTATGGTCATGTCTCCTCCAACTGCTCCTAACTCTCGGTAAACCTGGGGTTCATGACTGTGGTGGTGGCGCTCTTGAAAAGGGGGTTATCCTAATGAGAAAGGTAAGTGCAGACTGGTTAGTGCAAGGGAGGCTTTTTGGGGGCAGACTCTTTCCCTAGAAGGCCCGGGTCAGTATCAAAGACATTACTCTGAGGAAGGAACTAGAAGTACAGGTGATTTGCACAAGGGTTCTAGCCAAGTTGGCAAACCTTTTCTCTAGCACCTACACTCTGAAAAGGGGTTGCTGGCAGGGTACGTGGCTGACATCTATGCCTTTCAGAGTGAGACAGTTAAAAACACAGGAGGTGGGGGTCCCTCTGTGTATTTCTGCTACCTCTCATCCCCCCGGAGGACAGCCACTCACATTATTCCACTGGGACTTGAGCTTCTCCTTCTCAAAGCGCTTGTACTCCCTGAGGTCACTCAGGTGGGTCAGGGCCTTCCAGATGATCAGCAGGAGGACACCAATCAGCACAATGCCTGCCACTGTGCCCCCCACGATGGCAAACACATTGGGCCCCTCTGCACACTCTGTGGGGAAGCACACATCCACTGTGACATTTGTTCCTTCTGTCTGCCCTACATCTGTGTGTGCCTGTACATCCCAGGACAATGTCCCACACTCTGCAGGGGTGGGGTGCGTCCCCACCACCCTGGGTCACCATCCCAGTTGCTAGGAAGGGGGCAAAGCAGGGACAAATCCAGACCCTGTGATATCAAATCTAGAGGCTGTCAGCACAGCCCCTTGTCACAGATGAAAAAAGCAGGGCCAAGAAGAGCAAGCCCCTTGCCAAGGTGACCAGATGATTGCACAGAGCCTGGATGAGACCACTGCCCACAGAAGCAGCCTATCCACTGACATCTACAGGTGCCTATTAACACTGGGGAAGCAATGAAACCTGGGGGCCCCAGCATAGCCTAAAGTGTAGGTTAGGGATGATGACTCATGTGGTATCTCCTGGAGCTCATGCACCCTCTAGGGAAGGAGTTCCCAAGAGAGTGAGCAGTAGAAAGCAATGACCTGAGCCCCAGCAGGTAAGGAGCTGTGGGAAAGAGCAGGGCTGGCATGGGCCCCTGCCCATGCTGCCTGAGATGGCTGCACCTGGCCTCAGCCTGAATGTAGGGCTCTGGGCCACATGCAGAGGCACTGCTGTTAGCTGAGAACCCTCATTCACCTGGCCCTGGGCACCAGCTTCTTTGTGTGCTCCTCCATTCTCCAGGTGCCTCTAGAGATGCCTAGTGTCCTCACAGAAGTTAGGTAAGTTGGCCAAGGCTGCACAAAACCAGGCTTGAACCATCTCTGGCCATAAAAGAGAGAACTATCAACCTTGCAGACCAGTTTGTTCCCTGTGGATTTGTGAATTTGCCCTGGCTGTGTGCTCAGAGGGGCCTGCTCCCACTGCCTGCCTCCAAGTCTCCATTGCAGGGATGGGGGTGGAGGGGTGTAGAGTGGGTCTTAATCCTGTAAGGGTATGGTCTCTAGGTCCCTGTTTCCATGTTGTAATGGGATTTCTGTGCCTTTCCAGTTGGTGTTCCTGCCTCCTTAGTCTTGCTGGGTAGGGATGGAGAACAGTGGGTGGGGTATTGAGAATCTGCATTTACCATGCTTCCTAGGGTCTACAGGTCTAGAATTGCTAGGACAAAGCCCACCCTGTCATGCATCAACTCACTCTAAGTCCCAGCATCCCCAGTCACCTAATGTGCCTCTATAGTCTGACCTGAACCCCTGCTCCTCCCAAGCCTGTGTGCAGGCCCTCTAGAACCTGGACCTGCCATCTACTCCTCCTGGCCCCTGCCTCTGTGCTCCATCTGAAGTTGGTTCTGTACCTGTGCTTTATGCTCACCACCCTCCAAGACCCCGGCCTGGCCCCATCCCTGACTGAAGCTCCATCAGGGCTTGGGCTATGTGGGGCTCCCCAGTTCTCCTGTGCCTATACTGCCCAGGAGTCCTTCTCCACTCAGCTTCCAATGCAGCTTTGAAAACAACTCAGGTAGGCCACCACTCTACTTCAACCCTCTCATGGCTCCTGGGTACCTTTGGAAAGAAACCTCCACATCCCTCTCCCTCTGGGACTCAGAAGACTCCAGATAGTGACTTGGCACAGACTGTCCCCAGTGCACACTTCTTGACCTCAGTCATTTGTTTTGGCCATGTGGCCTCCTCGTGGCCTTGCATCTTGGCGCTGGGGATGCATGCCCTGGCCTGGACACCTGTCCTTGGAGATCAGTTGAAATTGTCTTATCCTCCCAGAAACCTTTGCTACCTGACCTCAAGGACCTCAGCTGCCCCCACTGCCTACTTGGCCTCCCCCAGGATCCTGGCCTTACTCTGACACTGTTGTGGGTGTTTGCTTTCTTCCTTTCTGGCTGAAAATCCCCTAGCCCCTTGGACTGTGACCCTCTGACAAAAGATGCCCTCTCCAAAGCCACAGCCATCACTGTACCTGGTCAGGAACTGAAGCTGAATGGATCATTAGAACAAAAAATATTTGGACAGTGCCCCACCTGGGCCCCACTCAGGCCCTGGACAGCTCCAGGGCTGAGGCTGGCGCTCCCAGATTTGCCAGAATCTCCACAGAACCAAGCATGGCCAGTCTGTGGACCAGCTCTTGGCCACAAGCCCATCTCTGTGGCCATGGGGTGGGGGACTCAGGCTCAGGGCTGCAGTGGGTGCTGTATCAGGGTCCCACCCCAAGGTGCAGCTCAGCCCTGCTGTCCTATGCTTCTGCTTGGAAGAAAGGCTCAGCCATAGCCTCACCTCGTGTTTCCTTCACGTGGATAAAGTAGCTGTCTCTTCCATCACGCTGCTTCAGCGTGTAGCTAATCCAGCAGCCCTCTGAGTCTTGTTCCTTGCAGGTCCGGCCCTGGAGGAAGTCCTCGTGCAGCTGGACACCCTGGCACTGTTCATTGCAGTTCTTCTCAAAGGGGCCCTTGTGGAATTTCAGGCACTCGGCACAGGAACTACAGGCAGGAGGAGGTCTGATGACCACAGGTGTGCAAGAGCATGTGCAGGCATCCCCCAGGTGTTTATCAGGGTGGGTGAGTGTGAGAGAGTGTGTGGATGTGTGGGTGTATGCAAGTCTGCACAGGTATGTAAGAGTGTGCACAGGTGTGCAAAGTGTGTGCCAGATGAGAAAAGCGTGTGGGAGTGTGACATGTGCTGGTGTGCAAGGGTGTGCAAGAGGATGTATGAGTGCAGAAAGGCATCTTTGGGCATGCAAAAGGGCATGTGTGTGTGTTCTGATGTGCAAGAAGGGGCATGGATGTGCATGGGTGTGATGGTTATGTTTATATGTTACTTGGCTGGGCCTGGTTGAGTGGCTGGGCAGCTAGCTAATGGTAGTTATTTCCCATGATGAGACTGGCAATCAACTCCATGGTGGGATCTACCACAAGCAGCTGAGTAGCTGCCTTTGGGATGTGGTCTGCTTCCTGTATTTAAGGAGAAGCCTTGGGAATGGCCTCTAGCCTATGGCATGCTTGGACCCTGCATGTAGCCGTGTCATTGCTCAGCAGCCTGCCATGTTCTGCCGAACTTGGAACTTACAATGAACTTAAGTTAATGGCCTGCCACGTGGTTTGGTAACATCAGGACTGTGCCTTTTTACTTGTCAAACTTGGGGCTTCTCAGCCTCAGCAGCCAGCAGCTGTCTGAGTCAAGAAAAGCCTCTAGCTCCAGTGGGCCGGGAGCAGGAGGCAGAGCTGGACCCCAAAGTTGAGGAGCTTTCACCCAGCCCCTAGAGCCTGGCACTTTGAACTTGGACTTAAAGCCTCCAAATTGTAAGAATAAACTCCTGTTTGTTTAAGGCCATCCCATTTGTGGTATGTTCTTGTCAGAGCAGCACTAGGTAACCAGAGCAATGGGTATGCAAGAGGGTATATGCAGGTGTGGGGATTCGTGCATGCAGGTAGAACACCTGGGGTGCCTGGTGTTGGATGAAGGAACCCAGCTATGGGGTGGCTCTGTGTGGAGAGGTGGGCATCACAGCTCCCAGAGGGCAGTGCCCCCACCCATTGCCCCCAAACTCACACATAGCGAGCACAGGGTGAGGAGCAGCCTGGGCATTCGAGGCAAAAGGGTGGCTGGTAGCCGGGGTCACACTCGCACGTATTGCAGCGGCAGTGCCCACGCCCACTGCACACAACTTGCCGCAGGTTCATACAGCCATCAGTGGAGGTACGGCACTGGCATGCCGAGCCTTCAAAGCCTGGGTAGCAGGTGCACTTGCCACAATGGCAAGACCCCCTTTCTGCAAGAGAGAAGAGGCCAGCCTTAGCCCCTGTGAGGCCAGACCAGAGCCTCACTGACCATGCCACCCCTCCACTGCAACCACCATGTGCAGTGTCCCACTCCACTGTGCCCCCTTTTTGTCAATGCCCACATTCCCCAATGTTGGAGTGAGCGTGCCTGTGGGGACTGAGGATGGGATCAGCATGCCCACCTTCTGCTTGCTGCTCTACCTCCCATCCCTGACTACTTTTCTCCTCCTCTCATGGCATCTGGAGCTGGGCCAGCAGCCACAGGGCACCAGGACCAGCCACCAGGCCCATCTTCCCCACCAGTAGCTTGGTCACTTACCACCTTGTCATCTGGATCACCCTCAATAAGCCTGGGCCTCCTTCTGCCCACCTGTGCATGGGGCCACCCTGCATGCCCAGACCTTAGGAAACTATGTGACTGTTGATATCACTCAGGGTAACAGCTACTATCCCCAAGCCCCTGTAGTACAGACCTATGGAGTCCCTTACTATAAGGACTCCTGGCCTTCACAGATCAGAACAGCGATCAGGAGAGAGGGGAGCCAACCATTGTCCTGCTACTGCTGAGTGCCTGAGCCAGATTCACACTGGCCTGTCTGCTGTGTGTGTGTGTGTGTGTGTGTGTGTGTTTCTGTTATGGATTGAATTATGTCCCTGAAAGGTATGTTCGAGTCCTAACTAACCTCTGGTACCTTTGAACACGACTTTGTTTGGAAATAGAGTCTTTGAGATGTTATCAATTAAGTTAACATAAGGTCATACTGGAAGAGGATGCATCCTAATCCAATATGAGTGGTGTCCTTATAAAAGAGAAGAGACACAGACAGGGAGACAGAGGAGAGATGCCATGTGAAGATGGAGGCAGAGGTTGGAGTGATGCATCTATAAGACAAGGATTATGGGAAACCACCAGAAGCTGGAAGAGGCAAGGAAAGATTTTTCCCTAGAGCTTTCAGATGGAATCAACCCCCTAACACCCTGAGTTTGGATTTCTGGCTCTCGGAACTGTGAGAGAATAAATTCATGTTGTTTTAAGTCACCCACTTTGTGATATTTGTTATAGCAGTCACAGGAGACTCATACACTCGCCAATGTCCCTTCTTTCTGCTCCCAATCACTGCCTTCTAGTACAAATGGACTAGAAAGACTCCCTCCATGGCCAGGTTTGTTCTCCAAAAGGCTGAGGGCAGCTCTGCTGTGTTCTCTGTTAGGGGATGTGGGGCTGTGTGGGATGAACCTCTGGCTATCCATGTGGCCCCCCATGTGCACCCACTTTCGCCGCCACAGATCTGGCCATCATAGCGCTCGCAGTTGAAGGTATCACACTCGCAGTAGCGCCCGTAGATATGCTTCTTGGGATCATCAACCCTGTGGCAGATGCACTCTCCACAGACGCAGTCACCCAGCCCTGAGCACACAATGGAGCTGTTATCCTTTCGGCAGCTCCCCTCCAGTTCTTGGCTACTGCGGCCCTGTGTCTGGCACTCACAGCTCTTCCCGATGTAGCCATGTTCACACCTGGGGATGAAAGGAACTCTGTGGTGAGGGACCCCCTTCCCCCACTAAAATCCCAGGACCTTCACCCCTCTCCCTGGAGCCTCTTGCCTGTGGTTGAGAACATTGGCAGCTGCACCTGTGTTTGCTTCTCCTTCAGTTGTCTACTGAGCGTTGACTGTGTGTTAAACACGGGGCCATGCCCAGACATTGGAAATGGGTTTACCCCTAACAAGGTATGTGTGACAGCACTGAGTGAAGCAGCTCTGGCACTGAGTCATGTGGCTCAGCTCTGCAGTGCTGACCCTTCCCTTATGTCCTTGCTGTCCTATAGCTTTTTTTTGCTCCCTGTTTCCTGGCTCTCCCAGCCCTCACTATGACCTCTGCCACCAGCATTGATGAGCTAACCAGGTAGGTTGGTCTGTGTCCATCGCAAGAATGTCCAGTCAACCACCTGCTAAATTGCCCACTGGACAAGCCCCTGCCCATACCTGAAAGCATCCATGGGGGGGGGTGTTGTGAAATATGGGCATGTCCAGGGGTGGCCTACAGGGTCTGGGCTGCTTGGAATGGCCACTTGTCCTGGAAGCTCTCTGATCATGCAGTACTGGCTGCCAGCCTGGTCTGAAGGTCCCCAAGGCCAGAGAGAGAAGGGTCTTTTGAGGCTGTGGGGCAGGGGAAAGGAAGCAACCTGCCCAAGACATAGGTCCTTGGCAGGAAACAGGCCTCACTCAGCCTACTTTCTTTGGCTCTTGCGCCTTCTGGGATGATTCCCTGGTGGTTCAGTGCCCTTTGCCTGCCAGGGGCATTCCATCTGCCCTGGATAGGCCTCATGTCCACACCATGCTCTGCCTCCCTCACCTGCAGATGCCACACTGCACAATGCCTTTGTTGTTGCAGTGGCTGTTGCTGGGGTTGACATCATGACAGCGGCACTCACACTGGGGGCGGACGTGCACCGTCACCGTGTCTGTGAAGCCAAGTGCCCTGATCACAAATGATTGCTCCTGGATACACTCCGTAGCCGTGACCTTCACCTGGAAAGTGATCTGCAGGGGGTGGTGGTGGTGGTGGGGGGAAGGATACAGGGCTCAGCTGAGGCCACTGGACCCTTCCTGGTCAGCCACAGGGGCAGTCCCATCCAGTCCCCTCTGTGCAGTCTCCTAGCTTGGCTGGCTGGGCAAAGGAACTGGTTGGAATGCCAAAGAACAGTCAGGTCAGGATGAGCCCAGGCATGGACAGAGTGCTCTCTGCAGAGGTTCTCGGAGGGGGTGGACTGGGGGGAGGGGATGGGGAATAATGAAAAACATGCCAGGATTCTGTAGGTAGAGGGATGTGAGATGAGAGAGAAGAGAATGAGAGCTGGAAACTTGGAATCTGGGCTTCAGGGACAACGGCAGCCACTTTGCCTGGCAGCAGAGTCCTCTGCAGGGTTAGACGGAGATAATTTATTTATTTATTTTTTGTGGTTGTGGGGGGGCACGAATATATCTGTGTAATATTTTCCATTATATATATAAGTAAAAAATGACTTTAGTGTACTGTCTAAAGGAGCTCTGGTGGTGTAGTGGATAAGGCCAGAAAATCAGTGGTTCAAACCCACCAGCCACTCCATGGGAGGAATATGAGATGATCTACTTCCATAAAGATTTACAGCCTCAGAAAACCAATGGGGGTCACTATGAGTTGGAATCTACTTGATGGCAGTGAGTTTTAGTATACTGTAAGTCGAGTACAGGTAACCCAGGGTCGTGCAAACAGTTAACGTGCTCAGCTTAACTGAAAGTTTGGAGGCGTCAGTCCACTTAGAGGCCCCTTGGAAGAAAGGCCTGGTGATCTATTTCTGAAAATCAACCACTGAAAACCTTGTGGACCACAGTTCAACTCTGACAAACACAGGGTCAGTGTGAGTTGGGGGTCTACTCGATGGCAGCTCTTTTTTTTTTTTTTTGGTTTAGGTCCAGTATGCTGAAACACCAGAATACTGCAGGAAGGTATAAATTCTGGATGATGTTGTTGTTATGTGCCCTTGAGTCGGACCCGACTCATAGCAACCCCTCCTTGGGTTTCCAAGGCAGTATCAATACGAAAGTAGATTGCCCCATCTTCCTTCCGAGGAGGGGCTGGTGGGTTTGAACTGCCAGCCTTCTGGATAGCAGTCAATTACCTTAGGCACTATGCTACCAGAGCTCCCAAATTCTAGATATGGAGCAATATTTTAACCCTGAATAAAGGGTAAAACTCACATAGCTAAAAGGAAATGGATCAGTTGCCATGACATCTGTATGCAGGTACAGGACAGAAAGACATCTCCACCACACCCATTGCATGATTACAGTGTGGGCCAGCACTGAATCTCAGGGAACACAGGCTTGTCAGGAGCAAGACACATATAAAATAAATTTAAATGAATTTCCATACAGCACAAGATAATGCAAAGAAAAAAAAAAAACAGTAAAAATGTGCAAAAAAACAATTTAGAAGAAAAGTGAATCAATCTCCACATAGGTTTCCCAGCATGAGGAGAAATTTTCAGTAAAAGTTCACATGAAACATTTAGTAAGTTACAAATCTGGAGGTATTCCAATGGCATATTAAAAAACGTAATAGAAGCAAGTATTTTGCAAGCAATGGGAAAATTAGAAATGTTACAGTCATAATAAATAATAAAACTAAATCTAAACTATTATAGATATAACCCAATGCTGATTTTTATTAGCTGTGTGACTTGTGGCTTAAAAAAAAGAAAAAACAAACAAAAACAAGCCAGAAAAATAAAACAAAACCAAATTTGTAGTGTTTGCAAGGTCCTTGTTTGCCTGGATGCTATGCAATGTATGCCTCCAGGGGGCACTGCACCCATGATTGTCTTTCAGTCTACATCCCATTATTGGTCTTCAGAGATTTCAGGGGAATTCTTCTATTGAACTGATAAATATGGTACTGTGTATCACGGGGTGTGCTGAGTGTTCCACCTGTGTCATTGTCTTAACATTTAGGACATAAATTTGTTGTTATTGTTATAAGTTGCTGTGGAGTCAATCCCAACTCACAGTGACTCCATCCTTGGCAGCCATGTGTCAGAGTAGAATTACTCCATAGGGTTTTCAAGATAATAACCTTTGGGAAGCAGATCTCCAAGACTGCCTTCTGTGGTGTCTCTGGGTAGGTTCAAACCCTCAACCTTCTAGCTACTAGTTGAGTGCTTAACCATTTGTGCCACCCAGGGACTCCTGACATAAATTGGCATGAGTATACTTTTGGCCTCATCAGAGAGAATATTTGATGGAAGGACATGGGCTTGGTGGGTGGAATGCCTGGCTCCTTCCCCCAGCATGCCTGTTTCCTCCTCAGCCTGTTTATCTGCATGCACTTACCCCTCACTCTCATGGTGTACCATTAGAAAATTCTATAGACAGTACCTTCCAGAATGTTGGACATAAGGACTCAGTAGTACCCACAATGTGAATTTTACTCACCGGGATGTTAATCTGCACACCATCGCAGTCCCCTCTGGACTGATCCAGTTGTGAGACCCCGTTACTGCAGAAGGAGTCATAGGTGACTTTCAGGGTGTCAGGGAGAGTGTTGTGGTCCAGGAAAACTCTGGAGGAGAGTTTCTGTGGACAGAGATAGCCACCACTCAGGGATGAACGACCCTGCTATCCCCTGCCCTCCAACCTTCACCTCTCCATTCCCCATCACCTTATCCCCAACACCAGTTAATGACCCACAAGCCCACTGAGGGCTCAGTGCCAAAGGAATTACAAATGCCACAGTCTTGCCTTCAAGGGCTTGCAGACCTGTGAGGAGACAAGACTGGAGACAGCATGAGCCTCATGGATCAGGGCTCTATCCTTGTCACTCCATCCTTGTTACACTGGATTCCCAGTGCCTATCACAGGATAGGAGCTGTGCAGTGTTTAATGAATGAGAGAGAAAAAAAGAAAGAGAGACACATACAAAGAGAGAAAAAGAGACACAGAGAGAGAGAGAGAGAGAAAAGCAGAGAGATGGAGAGAGACACAAAGAGAGACAGAAAACTAGTAGATGAGCCAACGATGGTCTCAATATTGTTACAAAATAAAAATACCAACAGAGGAGCACAGAAAGAAGAGTGCTTTGGAAGTTTGGGTCTCACAAAAGGCTACCAGAAGCAAATAGAACCTCTTAGTCAGGGCTCTAATTTTGACTTCATGAAATCAACATCCACTGGATACCCCCAGTATTTGGGTTGTCAAACCACTTGGACTTCTGGCCTGGAAGAATTACAACCAGAATGTTCAGAACTTTTCTTCTTTGGAGAAGATTCCCCCAGTGATCTGGGGCCCACTGAAACCAGGGCCCTGAATGGTGTCTGGAACACTCGCATCCATCACAACTATTGGAACCTCCTCAGAGGGGGTAGTATGGGGATGAGTTGGGAGGATCCACACTCAGGATAAAGATGGTGGGTGAGGACCACTCTTGGTTCATCCAGGAGGAGGGCAGAGGAATGGATGAGTGAGACATGCCAACCCTGAGAGTGTCTTTCATACAGGCCATAATGTACTGTGGTGTATATAACTATGAATCCCGGAGTCCCCTAATCTCCCACTGGGTACATTATCTGCCCCCAACTATCCAGCCCACACTTTTCTATATATAGACCAGCAGAAGAAAGCCCCCAGTCACAATCAAACAGCCTGAGGGAGAGAATCACTGAGCCTGCAGGCTTGGGACCAGGTCACGAGGGACATAGAACTCAATTGGCATAACATACTACACACAAAACATTGATCTACATCCTACTTTGGTGAGTAGCAACTGAGGTCTTAAAAGTTTGAGAGTGGCCATCTAAGATGCAACAATTGGTCTCTCCTCATCTGGACCAAATAAGAAAATTAATAAGAAAATTAAAGACACATGGAAACAATTAGTCCAAGGGACTAGTGGACCATGGGAACCTCAGCCTACAGGACAATGGGAACAGAAGAACTAGCTGATGCCTGGCTACCACTGCCAACCACTCAGAAAGGGATTAAAATAATAAATTTTAAAAAATGAAGAAAACAAAGAGCCCCCAGTGAAAAGCCTTGGGACTTTTGTTTTAGGAAAATGGAGGTGAGGGGCCAGGGTGCCACATCCTGTTCTATCAATGAGAGGAGTCAGAGTTGGGGTTGGAAATTGCCAGGATAAGTTGGTCTAGAGGGCATGAGGGTGATCCCTGCAGGGGCTGCAGGGGACTGCTCCCAGCTTGACAGATTAGTTGGGCTCTTCCTCCAGGCCACTCTCTGTTGATCTGTACTAGGGAAAATGACTCTGCTGACTATCCCATGGACTCTAGCCTCAGTTTACCACCTCAGGGTGAGCCCAGTTAACACCCAAGGGAGACTCACATTGTAGGCATTCTTGATGAGCTGGACCACGTTACTGGAGTCTTCAGAGAGCTCGCCAACTGCAGACTTGGGAATGATATCTGTGAGCTTCTGTTAGACAGGAGGATCCAACACATAGCAGTAAGGACCCTCAGCATCCACCCATCTCTACAACCCCAGAGGACTTCCACTCTCACAAAGTGGCTCAGAAAACCCTCAACCCAACTTTATATATATTTAACTGAAAAAGCAAATGGTCAGAAGTATGCTGGTAAATTTTCAACAACCAGCTCTCAGGAAGAAAAAGCCCTGCTTTGTAACTTTTGCTCATTCCTCTGGTGTAAATACTCCCATCATGATTGACTTCAGACTCTGAACATGATGTCACTGAGTGCAGAGTTGGGAAGAGATACATGGAAGCCACCATTAGATAGTGTTCCCCACCATACAATGGGTGTAAAAGATGCAATAGGTGTAAAAGATCCAAGACCTCAGATAATAATGAAATGTAGAAAATCGTCAAGAAATGCTCAGTTCTGAGCATTTAAAATGAACTTATATAATTTAGTTTTTAATAATTCTGTGCTAAAGAACAATGTGAAATTGGTCTGCTGGGCCAGTACCAGCTGGTCCAGTGGCACCTCTGGGGCAGGGGACCAGAACACCCTGAAACGCAGACTGGCTCTGGCCAGCCTTGGGAAGCAGTCATACTACTTCCTTCTCCACACTTGCCTCAGCATCAGTGGAAAGGCCATTTTTCACAAACACTTCATGATGACTTTATCTCACAGAAAAATGGGTCTGGCAGGCATATGAGTTGAACATTTACCTGAGGTAGATACACTCCTTGGAGAAAACAATCATGGGAGAAAGAAGGGCTGTTTATGCACAGGGAGACAGCTCAGGGGGCAGGAGTGCATGGAGGGATGGACACAGGAAAGAGGTAACTATCAGGAGGAAGTGGCAGGGGAGCTGTTGCATTGGGGTAAATTGTAGTCAATGTCATGAGACAAAGTGTTTGTGAACTGCTGTATGGAAAGTGAATTTGCTCTGTAAATTTTCACCCAAATCACAATTAAAAAAAAAAAAAAAAGGGTCTGGGAATCGGATCACTTCCACAACAACAAAAGAAAAAGAAGGAAAAAAGAAAAACTGTTCTAAGAACAGAAGAGACTTCTCCACAAAAGTTTCATGCTGCAAAAGAATGATATAATAAGAACAATAATTTAGTGACATTAGGATAAACCTGGTTTCTGAAGCAGGAACCTGGTTCCTGAAGTAGGAAGAAAGAGGTGCTTTCAGTACACACAAGTGGTAATTCCCCTAGGGTTTTCCTAGCTGTAATCTTTATGGAAGCAAATCATCAGGTCTTTCTCCCTTGGAGCCACTGGATAGGTTAGTTCAAACTGCCAACCTTTTGGTTAGCATCAGAGTGCTTAACTGTTGTACTACCAGGTCTTCATGGAAAATGTTTACCTTCAAATACATGTGTATATAAAACAAGGATGAGTCCTAAAATGAAGAATTAGATCTGTGAATCCAAAATACTTGGCATGGTCTAGTAAAAAAAGTTTAATTGATACCAAGACATATGCTTAGTATAAATAGTATCAAATTTCAAGGATGGGGAATAATTCCTTCTTTTATCTGTACATAAAAGTTGTACCTCTAAAAAGAAGCTCCAGGCTCCTCAGTTGCAAAATCCACACCCAGAACATGGTGTACACCAGGCAGGCCACATGTCCAGCAGGCAGAAGCAGAACTCAGGCTGTGGTTATCACTGGGTGTTGTCATCATTCTGCTAAATGGCAAAAATACCATTCGTGTTGCCTAAGGTGCCTGACCCCACTTACCTCATAGGTTGTCACCATTTTCTTGGTCACAGCAAAGATGGGCTGGATGTTGTTTTCAGCCAGTTTGTGCGCCAGCTGACCCACTGATGGGTAGTCCTGGAGGGACAGATGCCAGTTAAATGACGTGAGGGTCCAAGGACAAGCTTTCAGGTTCTCAGTTGGTTCCTGTTCCTTGAAGCTACTGCCCAGGGCCCAGAGGGTGTCAGCAACAGCCCTTCCTTGTGCTATGAATGGGGCCTTCTCTGAATAATGCTCACAAATGCATAAAATAAAGACGATCATGTTGTTGTATACTGTCGAGCTTGTTCTGACTCATAGAGACCCAGTGTGATGGAGTAGAACTGCTCCCACAGAGTTTCATCTGCGGTGATCCTAATAGCAGAAGATCATTGGTCCTTCCTCCTGAAGAGTGGCTGGTGGGTTCAAAACACCAACCTATCAGTTACAGCTGAACACTTAGCCATTGCACCACCGGGACTCCTTCAAAGGGGATCATGAAGGAAAACCAATCATCTGAACACAATGAAAAAAACATGAAAATCTGTGAGGTGTGTCTTGATCACAGCAAAAAGCAAATCTAGTGGCTGGAATGACTCCCAGACTTTCAAAGTAGATAGAAGTGTAGATAACATTCGGAGAAATACTCAGCTGTGTGTGGAAACTACTCAACTTCTATTAGAGGCAGGAGCTCAGGCCCCACCCCCACCACAGCAGTCCCTACACTCTACCCATAATGGACTTAATTTCTTTTTGTCCATGTTCATGGACCCCTGAATTCTATCCACTGACCCCACCCCATCCTACATCTGTAGGCCCCAAGTAAGGAAGCTTTGAGTTGCATCATCTCGGAAATTCTTTGCAGTGCCCAACGTTTATGCTTCCAGGACAGTTTCACAGCAAGTTAGAACAGAATACAGTTGATTCTCCTTATTCAAGGTAGTTGTGTCCTCTAATGTCATCACAAACATTGAATGAGTGAATATGGAACCATTGCTGGAGTGGAAATACAGGGTGAGGTTCCTGTGAGTCTTTGGTCATAACATTTTCATTCATTGGTCAATACATAACCTTGTTCTAAGTGTCTCTGTGCAAAGATACTTATTTGATACATGTTGTTGATTCATTAAGCTTGAATTTATGAGCCACAGCATTGTAATTAATTCTAGAATAAAGCTTATCTAACACATGGTATTTCCTTCCTAAGGCATATCACAGCCATTTTGCACTTAAGAACATCAAACAACACTTCAGCACTACATTTAGGGACCTTTTTTTTTTTTTAAGTTTACAGAGCAAATTAACTTTCCATACAGCAGTTCACACACACACACACACACACACACAC